ATTTAAAAAAATCTAATTTAACAAAAAATAAAAAGTAATTTTAATACATGGAAACTTGTTTGAAAAATCTTGTGAATACGTATTCACCAAGGAAATCTCAATACTTTTAAAAATTGAAATGTACAGTCTACATTCTAGATCATTTTAATATTTTATTTTATATAAAACTTAAGTTAAAAATTTTAAAAGCCATCTTAATCAACTATTTTTAAAATATTAGTTATTATTATTGATAGACATATAACATATAAGTGTAGTGTATAGAAAAACATAGATTGTTTTAAGCAACTTTTACTAAGATCATAGAAGATGGCTATCCATTACTAATAAAGTATAGCGATTCCTATGAAAATAATTAATACTTATATTTTTTATGGGTTAATTAAAAACAGAACTAAACTTTAATATTTAATAAAATTTCTTATATGTAATGAACTACACAATATTATTACGTATTATAGACGATATATTTTATTAAGAAGTAATTATTCGTTAGATTGCTAAATATAAATGAAATTTCGTAACTACAAAACTTTTTCAGGACCTTGGCAACGGACCTTTTTAACTTCCCTAAAGGACTACTTTAGGGGAACTTTCAATCGATTAACCACAAGGAAATTTATGAAACAATTTTACTAATTTTATTTATGGTTATTAAATACTTATTAATTAATCGAGTAGAATGAAAATAAAAATTGTGCTTTTATAAATATAAATTACCAATTTTATTGCAATAACAAATTTATTTCTTGTAAAACACTTAACCAATTCTCTATCAACTGTTCCTACATAAGTATATTTTGATAGTTTTGATATATTTTGATAAGTAAAAATGATAGTTAAATATTATTTAATACTTATTAAAAGCTATCAAAACTTCAACGAGATGTTCACATTTCATAGCAAGATCGAAAAAGAATCAATTAAATATGTAAGTTGATAAATAATAATGCTTATAATAAATAGTTTGGCGGGGAAATATTAACCTAAATGAATAAAATGATTAGTTAGTGTATGACTCGTTTCCTTAAGAAATTTAATAAGTTGAGCAAGCTTTGCCCTAACGCCCATTTCCAAGAGAGTAAGAAGCAACAAAACTAACTAGGACAATATTAATATCTCCACTTTATCGAACACCAAACAAAGCGAACTTTAAAATGTATTCTGAATGCCTGTGTTAATACACACAACAATAAGTCACCATGGCTTTTCTCCCAAAAGCCCATATACAACGTGTTCATGCATGCACACGTAAGCACACGTGCGCGCGCAAGCAACATATATACATATATATGTGTGTGCATCTGCTCTTAGCGAAAATGCTTTAATGGTGAAGGAAAAGATAAGAGCCGGGACAGCAGAAGCGCCCCTTGACGAGAACTTCCTTGTTGTTTTATCGAGTCAAAAGCAGCTGACGCGCCTCAAGTCCCTTAATAAAATTGCGCACCGCACTGCTCGCTCGAGATTACGCTTGCGAATGGTGCGCACGAGCACAACGGATTACATGTGGACCATTCGAACAATGGACTCCATTGTATTGGCAATGTGCGCACGTAAGTACTACACGAAATTTGCAAATTGCGAATGCTTCTGCGGATTATCGAACGATCAATGTTAGGAATTTACAAAGCTAGCGTCTATTAAGCTTATTCGTTAGGTTTTTTAATCCTAATGTTGAAGAATACTATTAACGTATTGTATAATATTGCTGGCACCGGCAATATGCGAAAACGTACGTAACTCATCCAAACACTGATAGAGTTTTTTTTTTTTAATAAAATTTAATGCCGGTATCATATAAATATTGTGTATACATTATTTTATATAGATTTTATTTCATTGTAAATTATAAAATCAGTGGATAAATTGTATTAACATCTATAAATTATAAACACTTAATTTGTTTTATTTGCAATATTATTTAATGCTGTCAATCTTTCTATTAAACTAAAATCTATTAAATGTGTGTGATCGAATGAAGATACTTAATTAATGCCAAATTATAATCGATAATATTTCAGGCGAAACTTTCAATTTCCTCGATAAAGGGAATTATATCCTTAAAAGTCATTCCATTCAAGCATTCTCTATGTCTTTCAATCGCCCATTTCTAGACTGCACTTGCCCATCATTGGTATCTTTCTCGCTTCCTATCCTCCTCATCCCACCCTCACGCTCAATCCGTCTTTATCGGCACATACATATATACATTCGTGTATTGGATCATTATATACTACTAAGAACTAAAATTTTCACTTGATTATCAAATGCAGCTAAATTTGATTTTGTTCTATACAAATATTGAAACGTAACGTAAATTCATCATACAATTAATATTAAATTTTAAATATTCTCATACGAATAAAATTAAAAAAAAAGCTAACTAAAATTAAGTAGAAAATAATAATATTTATTGTTCTAAATAAATCAAAAATAATTTTAAAAAACCTTTAAAAGGAAACACTTTTGCAATTACTTTTAAAGAATAAAAAACTATAACAAACTTTCGTAAAATGTTGTTACTAAATTAAATTTTTATTATTTATTATCTTGAAATAAAGAAGACTAAAGTATCTTATTTAATATAATTCTATTGTTAATACTACTAATAATAATCCGAAAATAAATTTAGATATATAATATCTAAACAGCATATATTAAATTGTTTTAATTTGATCAATCGGAAAAATATATTGTTTACTATAATAATATAATGTTGAAATTTAAATCAGTTCTAATAAAATAATATACATGCGTGTTAATTTAGTTTATTAATAATAAAAATTAAATTAAAAATAACAACTGAAAAAATAATTAAAAAAAATTTACAATAATAGTATTTAAATAAAAATAGATTACGTTTTATTACATTTCCAAATCAAATGTATAAAAGTGAATAAAATAAGTTTTAAATGATAAAACCTGCACTTGATTATCAGTGAGTTTGAGAAATTAAGATTATTTATTACTATCATTACTACTTACAGAATAATTTAATTACTGCCATTAAAGTACGATATACAATAATTTATATAAATTCATAACCTATACATTTTCTATATTTATTTCGACTTGTTATAAATACCAACAGTCGAATTATTAGGAACCTGCCTTACCACATTATGTAGTTTTCTACAGGAACAACAGATGGAGAATAATGTCAAATAAATAAGTATGTATAGTAACTATATATATAAGTATATTTAAGAGCTATGACAATTCTATGCAAGAGATGATGCTTTGGATTAATTTAAAAGTTAACTATTGGTAAAATGATAAAGATTTAAGTGAAAAAAGTATACATATATACATTCGTGCAAAAATTGATATTAGCCTAAATATAAATTACGGATCTCTAAATCCTAAAAGAAAACGTTAGATACACCATTTATTTTAGTAATCGTTGTTTAAAACCAATGGAAAATAAATAAATAACAATAAATATATTGTAATGTCCATTACTGTATATTTCAAATATAAACAGTATATAAAACATTAAATATAACACCTTCACTGAAAGTAATTTATACTTGAATCATCAATTCGAGCATTGAAAGACAGTCAGCAGGACAATTGCAAACTTTCCTTAATTTCATTTTTTTTTAAAGATCAATATTAGAAATTATTCAAAGTCAGTTCATCAATCTATTAAAGTAAACAATACATATTTTCTATTACTCAATATATTGTTAATGTTGTTAATATTCTTATAGAATAGATGAACGAATACAGAAAGTGCACGCATTTGTACAAAATCATACTTTCAAAAAAAAAAAAACATAAAAAGAGGTAACAAAAAAATATAATAATAATAATTAATATTATTATTATTATTATTATTATTATTATTATTATTATTATTATTATTATTATTATTATTATTATTATTATTATTATTATTATTATTAATGATCAGTTCAGCCACACGCAAAATTTACGTATCACATTTTGTGTACAGTTGCTGTCTGTTTTACTAAGAAAAGGACTAGCTTAGACTTATATTACTACGCAAATGTATAATATTCCTGTTCGATAATATCGATTTTCAATGTAAAAAATCTACATATATTTTTAATTTTGTATTTAATAATTAATCATACATGAACCAAAGAATGTTATCAGCCATTATAAAAATGAAATGACAGAATACATTTTTTTTAAATATGTGCACATTATTTATTACGTAAACCCAAAATGTATCACATGTAGCTTAATATGAAAACCATGATCGCTGCAAACATTTAATTTTGATTTAACAAATATTAGTTAACAAATAATGTATTTAAATCTTGAATTAATGTATGTGTAGATATTTACATAAATAATATTTACATATTTCATGAATTTACTCGATTGATAATTACATCATATATTAACACAAAGTTTTTATTTTGTATTTCAGATATTTATCCAATTAAATAACATACGATTGTAAAAAATACATTACATTTAAAATAAAAGGTATGATCTAATTATTGAATATTTTATTGTACACGCATGCTTAATGCGAAACGCATAAATATTTTTTTTAAATATAAAAAAATTATTTTTATTTCATTTTTGTATCATCCAATTGTATTATGCTACTAATTATATTTATTTTTTATTTACATTTTATGTAAATTCTCGTATGTATTTTTTAAATTAATCGTTTAAAGATCGAATAAAAACAGTAAATGGAATAAACTTGTGTAACTTACAAATATATTTTTTAACATTCTTGTGGATCCTAATAAATTTTTTTTGAAATAACAAAACAAACTATAATTTGATAGAATTGTCCAATAGTTTAATACTATGATATTGAAATAATGACATCAAAAACTACGTAAGTATAAAAAATAATAAACTTATAGTATAATATTCATAAAAGTTTATATAAAATTTTAAAATAAATTAACGAGTAATATAAAATTTCTAATTTTTTTTTAAGTAAAGTGTTCTATCCAAAATTCTATGAATTACTTAATTTTGTATTTTTCTTTCAATCTATACATAAAATGTTACTATAAACATTATTTATAGAAAACCATTTCTGACGTTACGTATAAAATAATTCGACTTTATACAACGTTCCATTTCCATATTTCGTACAATCGTAAGATCATTTTTATCTTATTGCTTCAAAAAATTTTAAGCACTAGTAGTTATGTACATTAATCGCAATTGAAATAATCAGCCATTCACACATAGCAATCATTTTATGATTACAAAATTGTTTACTCCATATAGTCCATTTAATTTTGAGAAATTTTTCTTAATGAAATCCGAATTATCGCAAAAGTAGTACGCTAATATATAATATCCGAATAAATTGTTACGTTGCAATCATCTATGTGGACAATTCGATGCTTGAGGAAAGAGATGACAATGCAGCGATTTAAATCTGTGAAAAAAGAAATAACTTAATTTTTCATTAAACATAGTATAAACATTATATTATTTAAACATAGTTTTCATTAAACATAATATTTTTATATTTATAAAACGAAGTATGTAATAAAACAAATGAAAATTTATTAATTAAATCGATAATTGTTGTGATACGAGTATAATTAATTATGTAATTTTGTATTTTATTGAAAGTTCAATAATGCAAATTATTGAATAAAATACTTTATTTTATATAAATGTTTAATTTGTTTAATAAGATTGCTTAATTATTTTTGTAGATCTATCAGAATCTAAAAATTATAATAATCTAAAAACATTAATAACATATATTTATGTTTAGTTGAACCCGTGACAAATAATATTTTCTTTATTTATATACTATTAAAAAAAAAAATTAAAAAACTTAAATTATATATAAATGTTTATTGATATTTATATTTTATTTTATTTATATTATTTTATTAAAAATTTATTCTGTTTATTATTGGCTTATACGGATCAATAGTGAAAATAATATTATAATTTACGTTTCATATCTAGTACAAATTATTTGAGTGAAGCTGTTTTACGTTGAATTTTATTTTATAATCGATCATTTTATTATGCATATAACTGATCGCTATATGATATTTTACTGAATCACATTTGTTTTACTTATAAGCTCCAACTATATCAATTTTCTTATGTGTGCCCAAATATTATTGATCCCATTAATGAATATAATTAGTCAAACGCATTCTATATATTTATTTACTACTTATATTTGATAATTTTTGGTGCAAGTAATTTACTAGTTTTATTTTATCTGTATTAAATATTATCTTCATTGTTATAACAAAAAAAAGTATTTCACTGTGTTATTCATCTGTGTTACATTATCTGTCATTCCTGTTTTTTAATCTTTTAGTCTGATATTTTATTCTACATATCTTTTATTTCTTTTAAGCAGATCGATTATATTTCATTCACATTCATTAATAAATAATAATTTATATTTAGTTTTAACTGCGTAATATTTGATTATAAATTAAAATGCAATTGCAACATGAAATCATTGGTGTATTTCTTAGATTATAATACTAACTGTTATTATTCATGTTATTAATCGGAATATTAAAGAATGATTTTGTAAACTCATCTTATTTATAATATTAACCATTTAGAAAATTGTACAATAATTATAATTTACTAAGTGGCTCCTTTTTATCGATTTTGATTTTTAACAATATAATTATAAAATGCATACAAATATATTTATTAACAACAATTATTTATATTTATTAAAGTTTATTAAATTATTTGATATGTAATTTATATAGTTTTATAAAATTTAACGAAATTTAAATTAAATATAACATTTTTAAGTAGATGTTCTGATTATTATAATAATTTCAATGATTATAATAAATATTAATTATAAAAATGCATTAATTAAATAAAGAATGGTGAGTGTTTGTTTCTAATCATAAAAATTCCGAAAAATTTGATATAAGTTTATTTTCTGTCGTATACATACATAATTTTAATTAAGCATTATATATAGTATAGGAAAAATTACACAATACATATAATTATATAATATATATAATATGGTATAGAGATATTTCGTTTTATCTTTTATAATATATATATAATATAGTATCTTATATATCTTTTTTCATAAATGATTAAATATTTTCTTATTTTTAAGAATAATGTAAATTAGGTTCATTTACTATAATCATAACCTCACCTTTTTGGATCATCTCTAATACTGAAGCCATCTATTTTTACAATATTCCAGTCGTCTCTTGGGCCTTTTGAGTAACTGAACGATACCTACAATAAAATAAAAATATGTCTCATTATAACATAAGAAGTTTATAAATATATAAATAATAAAGGGATGTAACAGTAGTCGAACAATGGTGCAATGGAAATAGTAAATAAAAGATTAAAATAATAAATCAAGATGGAAGTAAAGATGTGTATATGTCGATGAAAAATCATAATCGATTATTATTTCTTTTCTTTTTAGAAGCTTTTTATAAAAGGTAATGTAACAGCCAAAATATACAGTTCTTTCATTCATATTTTTTTCCCTTTTATGAGTGGTCATTTGAACTCGAGGATCTTTCTAGCGTTTATTAGCTTTTTTATTTCAATATATATTTGTCTTTTCTATTTTACATTATATAAATTCATTCTTAATATTTGTATGTATACAGTTTCTTAGCAGATTCTTAATTTGTTATCAATATATTGATTTCACTTATAAAGACTTACCGTTTTTTAACCACAATTTTTTTTTATAAGATTCGACACGTTGAATGATATTTAAATATTATTTTCGAAGTGAAAAATACTTCAAATTAACAAATTAGATGATAAGGAATATTTGAAACAATATAAAATCAGAAAATATATGTATTGATTAAATAAGAAGGTAATTTTGTAATTTATTACAATTGTTCTACTATTATCATTTAGAATAATATTTTTATTTTATTTTGGAAATGTATTGAGAATGTATAATATTATTATAATAACTAATTATTATTTATTATAGTGATAATAATAATACTTGTTATTATAATAATGACACCCTCAACTTGGAAATGTTATGTTTAATTAAAATTATTTTTTAAAACATATACTGTTTATAAAAGATACTATGAAAAATAACGAACAAGTAACGAATATGTTCATTTTCATTACAGCTTCTGATTTTTACATTTATTTATTAAATTTAGTATAATAAATTTAGTGTAACAAATCAATAGGTAAGAATTAAATTATCATTAGAATAAATGAGAATTAAAAAATCTTATTCAAATTAATCTCCATGTTATTATTTAATTAATTAGTCTCCATGTTAGATACAATGCTCCATTTATGCAGTCCAAGAAATTATATTTCTTTATTGAAACAATTGTATGTTCAAAGTATAAGCCTAAATACTATAGTAAAGAATTATTGGCGAATTACGAACGCTTATCGAAACATCACCATCGCAAATATATTTGGCTAGACAAAATACATCTTTGTTTAAACATCGACCGCAGTTTTTGACTTTAGTGCGTGTCTACGCTCAAAAAATTCTTTTATTGTATACAACAGGTCGATATATGTATATTATATTATGAAAAATAAAGACAAATAATGCAACTTCAAATCTGAATTCACAAAAAATATAAGCATTTGTTTTTCGTTCTATAAAACACACAATTAAACAATTCATAATCGTTTTATTTAAACACAAATTATTTTTAAGTAGTAATTAGCGGCTAAAAATTCATGTTCTTACTATATATTCTGTATTAGCACAAATTTATTTTTCACAAAAAATTCACTAAGGTTTATGCAAAACAATTTAAATACATTTGATTATATTATGATGTCATGAAATAAAACTTGAATTTTTATAATCAATAAAAATTAATAGATTTCTCTAATCCATATTACTAACAGCAAATCTGTGTTGAATTTTTCTGATAATGTTGTGCTCAACAAAATCGTCTACATAAGTTTAAATTCATGATAATGAGATTTATATGCCTGTGTAATATAAAAATTATAGAGTTCGAGTGGAATCTTAAGCATCGTATCGAATTAAAATAAATTTTTTTTTAAATATACCTAATATTAAATAAAAAATATTACTTTTATTAAAGTTAAATCGTAAATAAGACAAATTTTAAAAAATATTTTAACTTGTTAATTTAGTTGTGTTATTCATCATATTTGAATAATCTAATAATAAAAATGATAATTACTTTTATCAAAATTAACCACTTCATTAATAAATAAGCTATAACTTTACTATATAATATCTACATCTTGTTAATATTATTCTTTTAATATAAATTTATAATTATAAACTTTCTAATGTAAGTACTTTGAATCCTAGAGAATATTAATAAAAAACTATAGTAAAGAATTGTCTCTATAACCTGATCATGAAAGGTGTCTTTGTTAAGGAACTTGAGAATTTCAAGATGCGAATGAAATTGATCTATAACGGTGAGTTGTTTCTTCAACATGTGTTCGATTATGTAGCCCATCGTCACATCATCAGGTAGTCGAATTCTGTCGCCGACTGTGATGAACTTGCCACCTCTGTAAAACGAGAACATAAATAAAATTATTCGAAGCTCTCATTAGATAATTATTCTTCCTCTTTCTCATATATATATATATATATATATATATACATTAGATAATTAAATGTACTTATAAAAATGTTATAATCAATCAATTTACAAGAAAAAGTTAGCATATAATTATATTCAAATTACGTATACAAAAACAAACTTCTGATTACAGAAAAAAAATATTTAAATATAGAATATTTTTAAAACGTAATGTTATTTTAAAATAACGTCAACTTAATTTTTGTAGCTACAAAAATAATAAATACTATTGATTCATATTTATTAATGTTGTGTATTCAATCCAACATAATCAGAAAGATTAATTTATAAAAAAAATTCATTTATAAAATATATAATTGAAAAATACATTGATAAAGAAAATTATAAAAACACATTGTTTTAATTCAAAATATATTTGAAAAATTAATATAATGATATTGTAATATGAAAAAATATTTAATTAAAGGCGTAAGAAAAATCCTTTTTTATATTACGGGTCAATTTGTAATCTTGACGAAATTATCAAAGAATTTGATCTGCATATTTCATTTTTAAGAAATCAACGATAAAAATTGGCATCGTTTATTTACATAATAGTTTATATTATAAATTTTATTGTTTAAGTATTTGGAATATCTTCGATTCGACCTTAATAATTTCATCTTAATAAATATTTTCATTCTTTTAATAATAATAAAAAGCTCATTAAAGCAAAATAATAATTTTTCAGTTTTAATACTTTAAATTTTTTTTTAATGAAAATGTACAGCTTTTACAAGCAAAAAAGGAAATCGTACTTGGTCTTATAATAATTAAAATGCCTCAATAATTAATAAATAATCAAAGTAATACATTGCTTTATCTTGTGGTGATATCATAACATTTAAATCTATCAAACTAAGAAGTTAATTTTTATAATATATTATAATATAAAAAGTGCAACAAAAAAAAAAGTCATTAACAAATTTTTTTGCACATCTCTTATTATAGAAAAAATAAATGTTGCAATATATGACGACTGAATTATCTTATATCTATCTATACATCTGAAGCATAATTGTACAAAGAAGCGACTGTACACGTAGAATATGCACATACACCTAGAAGATTAAGCAGCTAACTATAAGATAAAAAAGCACCCAAGACTTTGCAAGCATTAAAAAATAAGTAAAGAAAAATAAGAACCTGTGCGAGCGCGAGAAAAAATATACGACACGTTTGGATCGCGCGCGGCTTTGCTCTTTGAGCTGCTCGAATCGCCTCCTTGCGGAAATTAATTATTCGACCGCCTTTAATTCGGCAACATTCCGGCTTCGTGAGCGTATGGAGATTAGGGACGAACCTCATCGCACCTGCCGTCTTTCTACATCCCCCCCCCTCTCTCTCCCTCTCTCTCTATCTCTATCTCTCTCTCTCTCTCTCTCACTCACTACACTGGCTTCTACCTTTGCCACGGCAATGATGCGAATCCATTAAATAAAAGCGGCTTATTACGCTTTATACACATGCGTATACATCGACATCGCAGTTCCTTCGAATTCTATATGCCTACCGATTAATCGCTAATGGATCGGATTGCTTTGCTGAATATACTTGCGATTTGCTGAATTTAAATCCTTAAGGATTTCTCTGGAGTCTTGAATTGATTTTTTCTCTTTTTTTTATTTTAAAACAAAAGATGCCTTACCCTTGATTAAGATTGTAGTAATTAAAGCTATCATTATAAAACCGAATAATCTTTATTTATCAATAACTATGTACCATTAATTTGAGATAATCAATGAGCATATATATATATATATATATATATATATATATATATATATTCGATTAAGCACTAACACTTTTCTGTACATTTCCGTTCAATAAACACCACGATATGCACTGAAATTTTTTAATAAACAATTATATAGGAATCATGTATATTTAAAAATTATTATTTTAAATAGGTGTTAAAATAAAGAACAATTTAACTTATAGATTAATATCAATTAATGAAAATTGTGCACTTTTATTAATTTTTTAAAAATATTTCATTAATTTATAACAATAACGATTATTTATTTTCCTGAAACAACATATAAAAATATCAAAAATTGAGATAATTAAAAAAAATAATTTTATTACAATTCCTATACTCTAGAATATTATAAAATCATTTAAATTAATTATTTTCATCAATAGTTGAAAATATTATTTACTATTTTTGACAGAATATCATAAATTAGATATTAAATAGGCTGAAAATTTAACATATCACACTATTGACCTACATATTCACTACAAAGCTATAGCAAAATTTATTTTTTGATTTCTTGCCTTTCCTTTTGCCTAAGTACTGTATTTAATTAGAGACCAAAGATATTATTAAATAATACGGATTCAATTTATTTTAAGAGAATAATAAGAATAATGAAGCATCGAATGATTAATGTATTGCGTAATGTTACTTGGACAAATACTAAATTATGTATTAATTACAAATTTTAAGTAGTCATTTAAATAATCGTTTAAAAAATTTATTTAATTAATTATATATTTATTTTAATATAAAAAAAAGATGAATATACTATTAACTCTGAAAAACACTATTAATTAACAATATTGTTAATTTGACCATCAAGGAATCGAATATTTATATTTATAAATTTAATTTATAATCAATAAATTAGTAATATTTCTAAAAAAAAAAAAAAAAAAACAACAACTTGAAATTTTTAACAGTAAACAAAAATAAATTTAAATAATAACTTATTCATATATCAATAGATTATAATTTTGTACGTATAATATTGAAATGTATTTTGTAATGATAACAATACAGTTCCATTTCAAACATGAATGTGTAATAGTTGAGTTCCATAAGAGACAAGGATCAGAGATCTTCGAAGTATAAACGCCTACGCAACTTTCGCACGCTTATAAAGAAGCCGACGACTACGGAAAAACTCGATCGAGACTCATGTGAATGCATCAGAAAAAGCACAGAAGTTGAAAAACATCATTCTGAACAGAAGTCACCCCTTCCTCTTCCCATCCTAAAAACCTTCTATACAGAACAACGATGTCGCCGTTCTTCACTTGGAGAAACCATTCAGAATTTCCATGCCCTGCCAATTAGAGTCCTGCCAAAGATATACTAGTCAGAGGACCCTACACAAGCTCAGCGGTGTTAAAGCCACGAACAGATAGAAGAGGGAGTCCCAAGAAGACCAGTGACGCGGGCTTTAATTAACATTTTTCGTTTCGATTGGTCCCTTCGTTTCTTTCTTTTCCTTTCATTTCACTCTGGCTCTCATTAGCGAATACCGCTGCCTTGCGCCAGAAACCTCCCTTTCTGGATATTTATATCTATACATATGGGTTGTGTATGTTCGTTCATTTTTTTAAGAACGTCGGAAGCGTAATCCATTGAAGATTGGCGACCAACCCCTTTTTTTTACTTCATAAATCTCTATTTATTTTCAAGATTCGTGCGACCTTTTTAATCGATCATATTAGTCGTTGATAGTACAATCGTATTTGTTACTTTAAATAACTTAGGATCATTATCAATATATATCAATATCTTTTTAGTATATTATCATTTTACTACATATATGCTGCATCTTGTAACTTTTTCTTTTCTCAAAACACAGTCCTTTCACTTGTTTCAGTTCGTATTCGGCGCATGAGAGTGAAATAAAGAGAAAGAATTGGACCCTTTCGAAGAGAGATTGAGAAAAGGGACGAAAGCATACATGTGCTCCAACGAATATCAACCTCGTTAAAATACCATGCGACGAAATCGAAATTTCGAGGTTAAGTGGCCGCGTGCGTGAACGCTTTTATCGAACCTAAAGGAATTGGTTAGAACAAGAGCAAGAGAAAGATGAACAAATGGCGAAAGGGTGGAGGGAAAAACAGGTATAATACAGACACTTTCCTTTGCATCTTTCCATAGTTCTTTGTTTTATTTATTTTGTTTTATATCTTGGTATATTCTTCTGTCAATGTGTTTTATTTTATTATACTCATTCTTTATTTCTTGTTATTTTGTTATTGTTAATTCCGCATCTCTTCGTCAATATGATTTATAATGAGATTAAATTGCTATGTACATAAGCTACATAAGCATATTAATATACATGTATCTATAATAATTATCTCTGAATTTTAAAATATACCGAACATAAATATTTGATTTGCCTTATAAATTATTCCATTGTTCTGATTTATATTACATTTTAAATAAAATCTAGTAAATTGGCTATTATGAGAAAATATATTTCTGAATATATGATATTAACGTTTTAAGTCAAATGTTTTCAATAATGAACAATAATGACTGTGACATATTAATATATTTATTTTAAATCATTTCCTCTTGTGAATTTTATCATATTTTTATATATCCTATAAAGCTTTGTTTTATATGTTCAATTAACTGTTACATGCAACCATAATGAGACTGACATTAGTACAGTTTGTATCCCACTATTCTGATAAATTACATCATTCGATTCGGACAAAATCTCAAGGCCTTCGTTAGAACCGATCCAATGACGAATTCGAGTACGGTGCAGGTTGCTAATGACCTCATTAACGTAACCGATAAACCTGTCAACGTGTTTCCATTATTAAAATTAGTACCTCTTACAGAAATTCCCTATAATTAAACATCTTTTCAACGAACTTGTAGTCAATATTAAAAAAGCTCTAATCTTCATTAAATGAAATATAAAAAAGAATGGTATAATTAAAAATCAGAATATTTAATTGTTATATATAAGGTTAAAAATAATTAAACTGATATAATAAAATTTTAATAATATATATCTTGTGCAATTAATTTTATGAAAATATTTATAAGTTCTTATATGTATCTATAAATATAATATATATATATACAGTATTAGGAGAAATTTAAATATAAATGGAAAATAATTTACCATAACATTTCTATAAAAATAATTTTTTGTAATT